GAGGTCCAGGGCAAGCTGAAGACCATGAGCTCCTTTTCAGACCTATTGAATTTGGGATGACAGTGGAATCTTGCAAGAGGGTGAGAAGACCAGAACCTGTACCTCCAGATAACACCCATGTAGCCCAAGCCCTGCCTGTCTCCTCAAATCAGCCCTGAGTCTGGGGCGGCTGGGTAAAGGGTCCTTGGGGTCTCTGGCCCTCAACTTTCTCTCCTGTTCCTTAGCCTTGGGCCGAGGTGTAGCAAAGCAGAGCTACCACCAGATGGCAGCTCACCAGCCGGTGCTGCCACCCACATTACATTGGGCCTGGAGACTTGTCCTAGACTCCCGGGAAGATCGTCCCCTTTGGCATTAACATTTATTAGTTATTATGATTGTTCATTGATCCCCACCACGTGTCAGACCCTGCTGATCTCTTCCAGACTTCAGTTCACTTGAGGCTACGGGAACCTCATGGGGTAGGGAGTCATTACCTTCCCAGATGAGGACCTGAGGTTCAGAGCTGTCTAGTGACCTGCCTGAGGTCACACAGCTAGCAGGCCATAAAGCTGGTCTAATCCCAAAGCCTGTGCCCTCTCCACCCACCCTGCACTGCTTACTCCTGGGAATTAAACTTCCACATTGAAGGTGTTTTTCTAGATACTGGGGAGTCATGGACAGAAAAGCCACATCCCTATGGTGAAGGAGGGCGGGGGACTTTGGAGTCTTAATGACTGGGTTCCTAATTCTTTAACACCCTGCCAAGATTGGGGGACTGCAACTTAGTGTCTGGGTGCCTGACTCCATCACCAGCTGAGGATGAAAATGGAGCAGGAGACAAAGGGGGACAGTGAGATCTTGGGAAGCTGGCACAGACCCTGGAGGGAGGGGTCTGCTGAGGATGGGGTGCCTGGTGCACCACCACCACTTCCTAGACACTGCAATTACCAGATGCCCAATCTGATAAATTGCTTCCTTTCCCGGATCCTCAGCTTCCTTATCTATAAAATGGGATGACAATTATGCGGCTATCACAGTTTGGAAGGACAGAAGATTATGTATTAAAAGTACAACTATGAATTGGCGTCAGTGCTGGGAAGAGAGTGTCATGGGCATGAAGGGAAAGGGCAGCTATGAGAAGCATGTCCAAGAAAACCAACTCATCCTAAAGAGGTGCTGAGGTTTCTTCCACTTAGTAATGTACATTCAAGTGTTCTCCATGTCTTTTTATGGCTTGATAGCTCATTTCTTTTTATTGTTGAACTAGAGGCCAGGTACACGACATTCGTGCGACATTTGTGCACTGGGAGTGGGGGGGCGGGGGGGGGGGGGGGGGGTCCCTCAGCCCGGTCCCTCAGCCCAGGCTGAGCCCTTTCGCAGTCCAGGAGCCCTCGGGGAATGTCTGATGGCTTAGCACTGCCATGGAGGCGGGCCACTATGCTCGCCAGCCTTCAGCCCAACTTGTGGCTGAGCAGTGCTCCCCGTGGAAGTGCACTGACCACCAGGGGCAGCTCCTGCGTTGAGTGTCTGCCCCCTGGTGGTCAGTGCACATCATAGCAACCGGTCATTCTACCGTTTGGTCGATTTGCATATTACCCTTTTCTTATATAGGATAATATCTCATTGTATGGATGTACCAGCCACAGTTTATCTAATGAGCATGTTTAAAATCAGGAAAGAAACCCTCCTTTAGAAAGGGGGACAAATGTATTTGGGGGAGAAGAGGCAGAAGGAAGGTGTGTAGATGGTATGGAGGGAGGGGGGGACTTGAGCAGAACGTGGCATTGCCAAAGGGAGAGGGAGGCGGCGGTGGAAGGGAGAGGGGCTGCAGAAGGCAGGGCAGCAGCAGTAGGTACTTATTTAGAGCCCTGGGCCTCTAGGTCCTGGGAGAGAAGGTGGAGGCATAACAGGTGCAGAGTAGTCAACATCTTATGTCATTTCATGTTGACCTGTGTCTTGAGGAATTTCCTGTCTGGCTCATGGTGGGTTTCAAAGCACCCACTACCCCTTCCTGGCAGCTGCAGTCTGGAAAAGCTCACCACCAAGCATTTCCTAGGAGGCCAGGGGCTCAAAGCCTGGACATTTAGCACCTTCGTGGCCAAGCTGGTAGACTGCCGGTTGCCATGGGTGCAAGGCAAACTCACAAGCCGAGAGCCTGACACCACTGTATCCCCAGGGCCAGGGTAGCTGTGGAAGGAGGGGGAGGTTATTTCCCTCACCCTCACTTCTGAGACTCTTAGATCCCAGGATTGAAGAGGGCCTGAAAGGCCATCTGCTCTACCCTTAGTGTGCCACTGGGATCTCCTTGGTCAATCCCCCAACAGGTGGCCTTCCAGCCTCTGCTTGCTCACCTGCACCATCTGAGCAGCCACTTCAGTTTTAGGCAGCTCAAATGATCAAGAAGCTTTTCTTAAACCTAAAGCTGAGGCACATATTCAGCAGAATTAGCGACAGCAAGGGAGCCTGGCAATGAGTGGGCCGGGACCTCAGCCAGGGTGCCTGGAACTGGGGCGTGGAGGGCACTGCAAATGGGGGAGCAAGGAGAACAGACCTGAGAAAACAGAGCCAGCCCCTGGAGACCCCCAGAAAGCCCGGGCAGGGCCAGGCCAGCCCGGTGACAGATGGAGGCAGCTTTTGCAGGACTCTCAGGACCTTCCAGGAACCATGCTGAGTGGGGTCGGGGGGAACAAGATGAGGCCAAGTCTGAGCCGGGCCTCTGGTTCTTAGAGCATCAGCATGAGTAGTCCTCTTGTCAGTGACAGGAAGATCTACTGGCCAAGGGACAGCTGATGGATTAGGTCTCCTGCCCTTGGGTAAATCATGCAAGTAGCCACAGATCCCGGATGTGGACTTGCATTCCCTCCACAGTCCTTCTCCCAGCACAGCCAGCTGTGGACTGATAAAATGCCTTGTTCACCAGCATAGTGTTCCACATATTACTTTTAATCAAGAAACTAATTTCACAGCAAATGAAGTGAAGCAATGGACTTGCAATCCTGTAATTCTCAGGGTTCAGCACAGGTCCCACTACACAGAGCAGCTGGTAAGAGACTGGCCTGGCCCATTGAAGACCGTCTCCTGAAAGGGCCGGTTCTGCCTTAAAGGTTGCAGTGTCTGTTTTGCATGAGTCTCTCTCCTCAACCACAATTCCTGGCCCAGGAACCAGGTATAAAATGGAGTTCTGCTCTCGAGGAAGTCTTGGTTTTTAGAGGAGGAATGCTTCTGCCAGGGGAGAGAGTAATGGCTTGCAAATTAAGTCTCACCAGGCCATTTGGGGCTCTTCAGGACACTGATTGGGGAGCATTAGGAGGGGAAACCTGGGCACAAGTTCCCCCACAATAAGGGTAGGAAGGACCATAGCTGAAACGCAGAGAATCCTCTAGAAACAGCAAATATGAATGAAAAACTGCAACGAATAAAGGCTGCACAATTCAGACCTTTTAGGAGTAAAGGTGTGAATCAACCATGGCAAATAAAGAATGCTGACCAGCTGAGGTCCTGGCTGAGGGCCCAGCAAATACAGCGAGGAAGTGGACAAAGAAGTTATAAAACACCAGCTCTAGCCTCATGAGTAGGACCGTACATCCTCTCTCGATGTACACGGCAGCTCCTCTTGGAGGTGCTACACGCACACCATTTTCTTTCCTCAGTATTTCATGCAAGTTTTACTGGAAGCTAATTTACCCTTTAATCTTTAGGTGTCATTATTATTCTACATTCTGTTCAGATGAGACTGTGACTGAATTAGAGGAATCAACACAGCCCAGAGGTCCACAGATTGTTGAGCTTTGCACTTCCTGTTTGGGGAGAGGATAAGAACATACTGCAATTAATTCTATCTTAGGCAGAAACAGTTGCTTTTGTGGTATTATTAAAGTTCAAATATGTGTAGAAGGGTGCGCATAGATGCTGACTGGCTAAAGGGGAGGACTATACCAATTACTAAGCTCTTTCCTCTCAGACTCACCTGTTTTTGGGATACTGGGCATAGAACTGGGCAAATATCCTGCTTTGCCAGCTGGCATACCTTAGGTTTCTCCAGCAGGGTGCCCACGAGGGAAGCCTCAATGCTGGAGGGAGAGAAGGGCCGTGCTCCTGCTCCCATCAGCAGGATTCCAGCCCCGTTTCTTTGCCTCTGCAGCAGCAATGTGTTCCCACAGCCAAGCCCAACTACCATGTCTGAGCTCAGAACCAGCTGCATTCGCACCCAGACACCAGCAGCAGGTGGGTAGCATCCACCCTCAAAGGCAGCACTTCTGGAGTTGCTACCTCCTTCATTTTTTAGTGTTTTCTTTTTGTCCTTTTAGTTACTGAGTAAACAATTCTATCATACTATAAACATAACTGGCAAGGTTTCTGCCTCCTATTTGGACCCTGACTGATACACATGGCAAGGAAATTTCTGTCTACTGAAACAGAGCCTCAAGACTGTATTGCTTTAAATCCTTTAGACACAATAACTGAGGCTCTGCAAGTTTCATTTTCTCTTGGTGTTTCCCATGGGCACTGGGCATCCGTACACCCCATATGTCCATCTTTGGGCTGAGCTACTGAATCTAAATCAACATTCCAAGCCTAGGCCGGGAGTGATTTCTCACTTCAAAATCTAATTCCTCCAGGTTTGATTCTGGTCGGGGCGCATGCCTGGGTTGAGTGGGGGGAGTGCAGGAGGCAGCCAATCAATGCTTCTCTCTCATTATTGATGTTTCTATTATCTCTCTCCCTCTCCCTTCCTCTCTGAAATCAATAAAAATATATTTTTTTAAAATCTAATTCCTTGAACTTCCTTCCATTCCAATATTTCTTACCAAAAGTTGAGAATTAAAATTAACCACGTTTTGGTATTACAAATGTAAATTGAGTTTTGCCAGTGATTAATACCAATTAGAGAATATTTAAATAACATAGTTATGATATTGACACTGTCTGGATCATCCACATACTCTATTCTGGAATGCACTTAAAACAAAGACCTGTGCACGGATTACCCATTTCCCTTGTATTGAAGAGGCCACACCCAGTTCTTGCTGATACTTTCCATTTATTACTGCAGTAGACAATGGCTCTGAAAGTGCAACACTAGATCCCTCCTGCCACGGCCTCTGCTCCTCCGCTGGCAGATCCTTAGAAATTCATTCCTAGAGCATTGCGGACCATAAGCTTCTCTCTGGGTAGAAACTTATTGCCGCTGCCAATGTCACAAGGAAAACACAAACACGCACAGGAATAGAAAGACAAAATGAGAAGAGAACAGGAGAGGAGGAGGGGCCAGTTTCAAATGGCAAACTCAGCAGAGGGGTCTTGGGAAAACAGCCCGCCTGTGCAAAGTGGAAAGAGACTCCCCATATCCCAGCAGCAGCGTCTACATTTGTTAGGTGCACCCTTCCCCGTGTCTCTAGAACAGACAAAACCGTAACCACGCATGTGTCATGTCTCAGCCCAGCAGCGGCCTATGGAGTCAGAAAGTGAAAAGACCTCTCAAGCCAGGCTGGAGAATGGGTGATGTGGATAAAGTGACTCCTCAAGCTCTCATTCGAAGCTGTTAGGCAGAGTATCTGGAGTGCTCTGAGGGTAAGATGCTGCCTAACAAATAACTCTGGTTTGACCTAACATAGGGTCAGCCTATTTTTGATGGAAAAAAATAACTTTCAAAAGTGGAAGGGAGACATGAGCAGATCTGGAAAATACAAGAGTAAAAGATCTGAACAAATGAGATAAAAAAAAAAAAAAAGCAACATGAACATGGACAATACACCCAAGCACTGGGCGTGACAAATCCCTCACTCGAGAACACTTTGCGCACACGCACCCACACAATAGTCAGGTAGATGCCCAGAGGAGGGCACATCCAAGTGTCTGCTCTCTTTGGAATATCCATGGCAATTCTGAGTTTAGGCAGAAGTACAGACCTCCCTGGGGCTACACAGACCTCGGGAGGCAGCCTCTGCTCCCCATTTCAGCCATGTTGCTCCTATGTTTGTTTGCCTGAGCCCTTCACAATGGTCCAGGCACTAGAATTTATTCTTCACATTCCTGGAGTTTAAATCATTGCTAGATCTTATCCGATCTAACTTCACCTATAACGGAAGCACCTCCCTTTGGCCCCTGTACTCCTCTGTTTTTAGGGAAAAACATCCCAAAACAGTGGTGATTAGAGGGTGTTTAGGAGTTGGAAAGTAGGAGAGTAATATAAATACAATAAGGAAATGCCTGCTACTCTCCTACGACTTCTCTGAGACCAGGTGGCTAAGGACCCCTGGTCTGCAAGGATAGGTTTTAGGAGAGACCTTAATTTAAGGTACTTCGATCTCTGCTCACAAGAGCCTAGTAAGACAGTGCTCCTTGGAGGTTGCTGTACGATTGGTACTCAGTACTTATTTCAATCCTAGGTGCTTCTCGGCCTCTCTGACTGCAGTCCTTCTGAGTCAGATGACCCAGCTTCTCTGATGCATGCCCGGTCATTTCTAAAGCATGCCTGCAGTAGCCTAACATATACCAGGTGACGAGGACTGAAAGCAGGTCTCCAACCACTGCAGACAGGCACAGCCTTGCAAAGAAAGTCATCTATCATGGTCACCTTTTCTTCAGTTGTCCCAGTTTCAGGATCACAGAACTTATCATACTAAGTATTAATACCTGGCAAAAACCAGCTTTTGCTTCCCTTCCTCAATGAGGGGTGTGCAAGAACCCACAGAAACAGGCTGCTCACACAGGCCCTGATCATCTGGGGAAATGGTTTCAACACTGTCTTCAGCTCCAAATCCCACACTCAGAACCTCTGCTAGAATCCTGCTCCCAACAAACCAGATGCCGCTCCAGTTTAATTTTCAGTCACCTTCTGAGCCGCCTCAGGGGCCGTAGCCACCTGGATTATAGTTCTAAGTGCAGCAGTGCCTAAGAGGAAAGAGTCCCACACGAGGGAAGACAGAGGGCATAAGGCAGGAAACCATGCAAAATCAGCAACACATTTTCAGAAGGTGGTGGGCTTGGGGGAAGAGGGGAGCAAAATAAACAAAACGTCCCAATAATTTAATGGCAAAGCTAGAAGAGCATTTACAGCTATCCCGGGACCTCCAACAAAAAGTTTTCCTGGATGCACAGACATTCGTAATACTGACAAGTCTCAGTGGACAGCTCTGGCTGGTACACGTGGTTGCGACACCCTTTGTACAGTAGAGAGGAGCATGACAGAGGGCCTGCGAGGCATCTGGACAGCACACAGCAAAATGAAAGGCTAGACTTCCCCCCACAGAAACCCATTAAAAAAAAAAGTGTGTCTATTACAAAGTCACGTTTGCCATCTTTCCACTTTATAAAGTCAGCGATGCTGGAGGGTGTCTAGCAGAATCCATCCTCCAGGAATGAGTGCAAAAGGGACGTCCCTTCAGTAAGCAGATGGAAGGACCAGCTGGAGACCTCCCATCCATTTCGGACAAACACACACATACTTAAGGAAAAGGATTATTGCCAGCTTGTGTACGTTCACAATGTGATTTTTGTATTTCGAAAGCTTGAATTGTCCCTGAAAGAAAAAATGGAGAAAATAGAGCATTCAATACACTGATCATCTATAGGCAACACACACACACACACACACACACACACACACACACACACACACGGGAGACCTGAACTAAGCAGCTCTGGGGCCCTCATGACTGTGGCATAGTCCAGGACCCTCCTTCCTACTAATCTAATGCCGGCACAGCAACTGGCCTCCCAAGTGCCTTCATACACTCCAACTCAACTGTGCACACACACACACACACACACACACACACACACACGGGAGACCTGAACTAAGCAGCTCTGGGGCCCTCATGACTGTGGCATAGTCCAGGACCCTCCTTCCTACTAATCTAATGCCGGCACAGCAACTGGCCTCCCAAGTGCCTTCATACACTCCAACTCAACTGTGCAATAGCAAATGATTAGAAACCACCCAAATGCATATCAACAGGGGGATTAGTTAATATGAATGTAATGGCACATTCATACAATGGGACACTGGGTAGCTTAGAAAACACAAGGAAGCTCCCTACTAATATGGAAAGATCTTCAAGAGAAGTGGATAAGTTAGGATGCAGAACAGTGTGTGCACAAAGTATGCTACCTTTTATGCAAGCGGGGCTGGGGGAACTAAGGCCATAGTTCATATTCGCCTGTATATAAAGAAACTCTGTAAGGCTCCATAAGAAACCAACAGCAGTGGTGACCTGGGGCAGGGGAAGGGACACAGTGAAAACTGGGCAGACGGAGTCAGAGTGGGAGGGAGACCTCTCTCTTTTTTAGACACACACATACTTAAAAAAAAAATTTGAACATGATTGTATTATGTATTAAAAAAAACAAAAAAACAACAATAACCAACCCTCGAACCAAACAACCTCCCCCCCAGGTTCAAAACTTATAGCAACTTAAAAGGGATATTCCAAGAGGTGAAACTTAGCTATAATTCTTGAAAGAGAAGCATGTGTGTGTGTGACAGACTGTAAGATGTGTCCTGTTAGTTGCCTTCGATTGGCTGCAGACCCGTTTGGCCATCCACTAGTACCCACCCTGTTCCCACTAGAAATCCAATGACATCTTAGCAGTTCACATTGCCGTTTGAATCTGGAAACCTAAGGGCTGGAAGGGGCACTCAAGATCACCTTACCTTACCTACTGCTGTGGCCAGTGCTTAAGACTTAAATTTGTATGAAATTTTGAAACATTAACCTGGTTTTAAAGTCATTATTTCCCTTTAATTTTAATGACACATTCTAGAAACTGTGGCTTTAACAGGCCTATCTTAAAATGATTACAACTGACTGGGCATAGGGCAAGGGTTCAGATGAAAGAATATGCTCGGCCCAACCAGGCAGCAGTTTTCTCCTGCTATCAGCGGATGGGTTCTCCCCCGTGCTGGGGCAGGCTGACTGTGACTAACAGCCCTCACTACACAAAGAGCGTGACTGCAGACAGTACACAGATGGATGGGAAACTGGAACTATTGTGGAGCAACTCTGCAAGATTGATGTTACCTCAAAAACCCACTGGTGTTTTTATAACTGACATGCATGACCATGTAGCTCATTTATCAATGGCTACTGAGCACTTCAATGATTTCCATCTAAGGAGTTGAAGGTTTAACACAAAAAGAACTTAATGGGGTGAGCATCTTTTTTAAAAGGCCTTTTAAAAGGACAGACCCTGCCCTAGCTGGTTTGGCTCAGTGGATAGAGCGTCGGCCTGCGGACTGAAGGGTCCTGGGTTCGATTCTGGTCAAGGGCACATAGCCAGGTTGCAGGCTTGATCCCCAGTAGGGGCCGTGCAAAAGGCAGCCGATCAATGATTCTCTCTCATCATTGATGTTTCTCTCTTTCCCTCTCCTTTCCTCTCTGAAATCAATAAAAAATAAATAAAAGGACAGACCCCACTGAGGTGCCAGAAATAGCTAGCAAATGACAAGGAATGTACCTGATCCTAAGATAGAAAAGCAAGTATAACTAATGTGTGTGTGCTACTTCTGAGCCCTCTTGGGATGATGTGCTGTAACACTGAGTCTACACGACAGAGGACATCTCTAACAAAGGAGTAGTTAGGAAGGAATGGTTTGCTCTGTTTCATCTCTTCCTTTTTTTTTTAATCTTCACCCAAGGATATTTTTTTCTGTTGATATATATTTTTTTTTTTTAGAGAGGGAGAGAGAGGGAGGGAGCGAGGAAGGGAGGGTGAGGGGAGGGGGGAGAGAGAGAGAGACATCGATGTGAGAGACAGATCAATGGGTTGCCTCCCGCACAAGCCCTGGGATCAAGCCTGTAACTGAGGTACGTGCCCTTGACTGGAAATTGAACCTGAGACAACTCCGGTCCGTCAGCCAACACTTTAACCACTGAGTAAACTAGCCAGGGCCCATCTCTTCCTTTTGATGCCACCTCTATTCCCATTAAGCAATTGGATGACAAGTCAATGAGCAGGGAGAAATAAGATGAGTGACTAGAAAGGCGGCGGGTGTGGGAGTAGATTCAGAGAATTTTCTGACTATGGGAGAATGATCTAGCTTGGCGTAAGAGAGATGGCAGACAAGGGTTTGGATGAACCCTTTCAGCTGGTTAGTGATGTAAAGAAGAGCATTTTCAAGATGTCACCACCATAAGTAGGTGACCATCTTTTGGAAGAATTCCTGTACTGGGCTGGGATTGGGCCAGAAACAAATTCTTCTTTCTGTGGCAGGTAAACTGAAGAGCTCTATAACAATTTCCCATTTAGATATTTAATATTTATTCTAATTATTTATATTGTCTAGATCTCTTCAGAGTCAGAAAACCCAAGACGTTATAATCATGTTAAGGTCTGTAAAATGGAAAAGGGGAGGAGAGGAGTAAAGAAGCCAGGAGAATCAACTGTTTTTCCAGTTTGATATAAAGGATCAGAAAGAGCAACAGGATGGGTGACAGGCTCCTGACAATGACAGGCTGGTGGCAGTTGGCATTGGTCCAGCCTTTCTAAAACAAGTAGGCTGAGAACAGCCTGGTACCAAATTTAGTCTGAGGAATTTGTTCACCTCAAACCAGCTGGGAACTGATCCTCCGTTCTGCCCCTCACCCCAGCTGCAGTGCACAGAGATTAAGAGAGGGAAAGGTAGAATGGAGACAGGAAATGGCAAAGGCCACAGCGACTTTTGTTTTCTTATAAAAAGATGGGCTTTTGTTCTTTTAAAAGCAAACTAAAATTTAGAAAACCCAGCATGAACTCCTGCTAGCTAGCCCCTCCAGCCACCTAGCAATGCTGGGAAGGTGCATGGACTAACAGAAAAGTTTTATTGTTTTTGATATGAAAGATCTTTTAAAAAAAGAAAAAATTTACATTCTCATCTGTGAATTTAGTAAAGGGGTTTTCAGACATCAAGATGTCCACTGTAGCCCAACCAGTGTGGCTCAGTGGTTGAGTGTCGACCTATGAACTAAAGGTCACGGCTTGATTCCTGGTCAGGATACATGCCTGGGTTGCGGGATCGATCCCCAGTGGGGGGTGTGCAGGAGGCAGCTGATCAATTATGCTCTCTCATCATTGATGTTTCTATCTCTCTCTTCCTCTCTAAAATCAATAAAATCTATATATTTTTAAAAATATGTCTACATTATCCTAACTCATTCCAGAAGATTTTTCCATGCCAGGGCACAGGACATGGGAGCCAAAAGACCCACAGTGCCAGAGGGACTCTTTCTCTACTGGATGACCCTCTATCCTGATGACAGGGCCTCAGAAATAGCAGAACTCCATCGAAATTGGCTTCTAACTTCACATTTGAAACAGCTTTCTAATCTACTCTGCCTCAAAATAATCACCTTCTTGTACTTCTAGAGAAATGGACAAGTACAAACTCTGGAAAAAATGAGCTAATAAGGTAGTTAATTCCTGAGGGGGGAGCCATGGGGGAGCAGGGTGGTCGGTTCCTCAGAAAAATGCCTCCTGCTCTTACAGAAACCTGCCCCTATGTTGATGCCCAGTGGGGGCATCAAAATGATTCTGGTCCTTTAGGGAGGGCTGGGAGCCACCTAGGAGAAGCCCTCCCTGAGTGTCTGCTCTGATGGGGGGTCTGAGAGCACAGTTACAAACTGGCCCATGGGCTTAAGTATCCATACACTTCAGGGGAACATTTCCTGACTATGTCCACCTCAGGCCAGCTCGGGCTCCCTCCTGCATATTAAGTAAAACTGCTAAGGTCCTAGGTGCAGTGGGGCCAATTTCAATGTCTAATCTCTCATTGAGTGACCACACCAACTTCATTCCCCAAAGATACAGATCCCTGTTCTGTGCCTGCCAGCCCAGACAGAAGTAATCAGAATCCTCTCCCAGCAGCTGACTGGGACCTCTAAGTGAAGGCATGGTTGGAAGGGCAATACTGATTTGTAATGGGGGTGTCAAATGAAATAGTCCTAAAATATTAGCAGCCATATAGAATGGCATAAAATATCAGATAGAGGAAAAGTACTGTAGTTCAATAAGAATTTATTTAAATAGCAGTTTTTATTCCTTCACAGATCATGATCTACTTGGAAGGGGAAAATGCAAAGAGAGGATGAGAGCCTAAATGTCAGAGGAGTCTGAAATGGCAGCTCCAACAACACAAGCCGGGTGTGTGCATCTTCTGGGAGCACCTCCTTCAAGGTTAAATCAATAGAGATGAAATATGAAGAAGACCTCAAGTCTGTTAAGACAATGGAGTAAGCTGGGCATTTTTTTGTTAGACTCCAATACTCCTCTCAGACTTCTAAGTCCGTGCCTCAAAGAACAGAAGTACCTCCTTCATCTTCCCATAAAAAAGATAGGGAATGGGGAGGAGGGAGAACATAGACTGTAAAATGGCAATCATGCACAGATAAGACTTTTCAAAGCAACTCTGAAATTTTTTCTGGGGGATTTAGTGTTAGCTAAAGGGAGAGGGAATAATTTTAAATTTTCTTCCATTCTGATTATTCCAATTTCATTTTAAAGCTTTTTTTTCATGAACCTAAGATGCTGTTGACTTTTAAAGGTATCATCATTTTATGTACTTTAACAAGTAAACGTTGCCAATTAAACTATGACAAAAATCTTTATTACGTTCACTGTAAGCATTCCAATTTCAGGGATAAAAAAAAGTGAATCTTAGAAATAATTAAATATGGATGGTAATATTATTAAACAATTCCATATAGCACCAGGCCTCTGGAAATTAAACTTTATTTTAAGTATCTGTTCTGCAGCCTGCAAATCAATGTATCTAATTGTACAGCTGATGCTTTTCATCCCTCCTGCATATTAGCAGTCATCTCAGAATTCCATGCTGACCACACTTTACAGAGAAACCTTTTAAACTTCAATTAAAAAAAATCTAGTAGTATCTAAAATTGAATTTATAATATGGGAATTAAACCGTTTTAAAAAGAGGTGTGAGTGGCATCATGATTGTGTGCAGGAGATCTGGGACTGTTGTCTATCCCGAGTCCTCAGACCCCTGGCCACCAGCTTCTGTCCCTCACAGTGTCATCCTCTCTCTTCTAGCCCATCTATGGAATGCAGGTCTCCTCTTCTTGAAAAGCCTCACTTCCTCCCTGGGAAGGTGGAGTTCTGAAGCAGCTACTACTGTTGATGTGATCTGTTCCATACTTAGAAATCCTTTCTTAGGAATGGTGGTGGTGGTGGTGGTGGTGGTGGTGGTGATGGGATGGGGGGTGATGTCCAGGAAAACAATCTCAGGTCAGGCCTATACAGATCCCATCCTTCCATCTACCCCTCTCATCCTGAATAAATGCACTCAACTTCCCTGCTGCAGCAGCAGACATGTTGAGTGGTGCTCAACAAAGAGACACTCTCCTAACCGATATACAGATGTTCTCCCAGTGAATGCTTCATCTGGCCTGGCCTCCAACATCCCAAGGCCTCTCCCTGCTGGGAAACGTGCGATGGTTATTACAGTACACACAGGAGCTGTCTCCTATGGAGCCTGGCATCTGCCCCGCCCTCTCACTGCGAAAACATCAAAGTTCTACCACTGGCTCCTCACAACTGACAAACACCGCCAGCAAGCAAGAGACATACCTCTCACCTACTCCATGTAAGTCACAGGACACTGTCAGATGGTTTAAAATGGCCACATCTGAGCAAAAGAAAAAGGACTTGTGGCACATTTATAATCATGAAATGCTGTCATCAGAAGAGATCTGAGAGATGTCAGTCAGTGAAACCTCACTTTCCAAGTGAGAAATGGAGGTACAGTGAGGTTAAGTGGCCTGCCCAGGGTTCACCCCGAGACATGTCTGGACCCAGTGTTTTCTGAGACTGACAATCAGTCAGAGAGGCTGGAGCTGATTTGGAGCTGACTCCATGCTGGCAGAACAAGGCTGGGGCAAGTGGGGAGGGCACAACCCCTGGGAAAGAGGGATCCTATGGCTGAGAGGTATGTCAAAACGTTACAGAGAAGATTGACAAGGCCCTACCCTGAGTATGAGAGACAGAGGGGAGCGTCCGATCAGCGGCCGCTGCTGTTCACCAGGCCATGAAACTCCTCCCAGGCCCTGGCAAACCAGAGACAAAAAACATAATAGCACATTCAGATCAAAAGCTTTTTAACAGAGAGAACAGACACATAACCCCACATCCCATTCCAGATACCCTCAAGGTTGAGTGCAGCCCACAATACCTGGAAGCATAGCAATGAGCGTTCCCACCTGGACTTTCCCTCAGATTCACAGTAATGCCAGCGCCTTTAGGGACAGCTGGCACTTGTCCTGGAGGCTCCACTGGTGAAGACTGGCCCTCACTATTCCCGCGAGGCTTTGTATCCACTCCTTCAACAAGTCCACCGGGGAGGCCAATGAGGTCAGAGCTAAGCTCAACCATCACAGAAGACACCCCCAATTCTCTGGAGCAAGGGCAGCAGTGGGAGGTGAGGACAGGTGGCAGGAACTTTCTTATCGGGCCTCACCTTGAGGTTAACGGCAGGGACCCGACAGCATTATGGTGTCTAAAGATGCAATGGGGAAACTACCTCTCTGTTTTCACATTTCCAACCTTCTGACCCTTCTAACTTCAGACCCCAAATTTGTACCAGGTTGTTTCAGAATATACCCATGTAAGTCTCTTAAAATTTAAGCTGTGTAAGAAAGAAAAATTTAAGCTGTGCAGGTCACAGGTCAACATTTCCAGGAACAATGCTCATGACTTCCACGCTGATTAACTCAGAAACAGGGGTTAGGAGGGCTAAGAATGTGACCGAGGGGTACACAGTCTCTCAGAGTGTGCTCAACAAAGAGCCCTTGGCGACTGCTGGCTGAAAAATAGGAGACCCGAGTCCCTATGCACCCGAAAGCCCTACCACCTCGTTTTCTGAGGAAGTGATGTCCTAACTTTTGCCCCAGCCACTTCTCAGCCCCACTAGGACAGAATGTCTGTTAAGTCCCCTGGGAAATAGAGAGAGTTATTTGAGGCTTTTAAATCTAAAATTCCTTTTTGTCAATTATTCATCCTTGGTTTAAAGGGATGACAATACCCAGGATGACAACATATTGTGTCACTTACTACAGGCTTAGATTATGGCCACTAAAATACAATTTTTACCAGACCTTCTAAAGGTAGCTTTTCTTCTTTTTTAAATAGGGAGAGATTAAATACAGAGACTTGGCACAACAAATTCACTCTTCTAGGTGATACTTATACATGTTTCATCAGTATTTCCCTTTTGAACAGGAGCATTTATAAGTTCATGATCTACCTCTTAAAATAAGAAGTTGATGTGCAGTTAATGGTTTCTTCAGAGAGTATTACCAAAATTACAAATACATGGTAACTGAAGAAAGTATAAAACCACCAAACAAGTGTGCCAGTCTCTGTTAGTTCACAAACAATTTCCACATCAAGAAATCTGTTTCACAGCCCATGCTGGTGACGGGAACGCGATGACGAACTCTGTGAGTCCAGGCGTGACATCAGAAGGCCCTTTCACTTCATTCCAAATTAAGACAAGGGCAAAGCAAAATCTGATGCTTGGGCAATGACCCAGGAACCCCTCTCTCATTTTAACATTGAGATTTAAATTCTATCTTAAGCGACATAAATGTCCAGAGAAATTACATGGTTGTGTTGAAGCTTCATCTCCTGTATCCTTTTGTTTCCAGAAAGGCCTACACTAGTCCAAACAGAGTTCTCTGTCAAAAACCTACACTAACCCATTCTGGTATTAAACTGGCCTCCCATTTTCTTCAGAAATATCTTCCTCACATATTAAACCTCAAAATGAGGAATCTGGGTGAAGAATTTTCCTCACATGGATACAGTGAAAATAAATTAGTTGGTCATATTCACTGGTACAATGTAGGCCAACAAATCACCTGCCTAAAGCTAGGTGCGAACATTCTAGCTCTTTTCCATATGACATTCCAATCATACTGGTAATGTTAAAACTTGCTTCTTTTAAAGGTAAAAAAAAAGAAGTTACTAGTAAATGTTAAGTGTCATATGAATGAAGCTTCTAAAAGAATAACTGAGATTAATATAGCCTACAGAGAATTCTGAACAATTTCAAATGACAGAGTCAAAAGAGTCCTTTAAAGACCACTCTTGTTTCAGCTCACTTACCAGAAAGCAAACTGAGAGCAGAGGTCCATTTCTGTGTAACTCCGAATGTGTCCCACCCTCCCACCCCCTAAAGCCTGTTCATAGTCTTGCACTCAGCTGGCCCTCAATACTCATGGACAAGCTCTGCCTCCTGCTAGTCTGGGCTTTCTTTACTTTGAACATCAGTAAGGAGTACCTTTCATAAGGCAGGCCAGCAGTTAACACCGGTGTGATCCAGTGCCACCAAGCTGATTTAGCCAACAACACAAGGGATATTTGGTTGCTGCCTACAAAGTTCCATGTTTAAGTATAATGAAATCTAAACAAGTTTAAAGAAATTCCCCATGATTTGACCCATTTCTCCTCTAGAATAAAGAAATAAAGTCACCTACCCTCAACTTTCTCTGCAGAGAGGTCTGGTCACTTTTCCCAACACTGTGGCCCACTGAGTGAAGCTGAGTGAAGCTGGCCCTGTCTTCCCCTCTTCCATCCGGGCCAGATGCACAAAGGGATTCAATGGCACTATTTCAAAAGTTATTTCCTCACAAAAGACTGTGCCCAGTTTTATCCTGAGGGTCCCACGATTCTGGGTTGCAAGTCTGTCTTAGATTTCTTCTCAAAATGGAGGACACAGTGAGGACCCAAACCTATAAAACCTTAACTGCGATTGGCCTCATTAGGAGCCATGCACCTGAAGCGAACACTCCATCTAACAAGTTTCCCGTTTCTCAGTGGGACCTGCTATTGGCAACACAAGGGTAGGAGGCAGCAGACAGGCGTCCCCTCTGTAGCAAGGCAGCTATGGTGATGTGAGCAGCAGTGTGTGCCTCTCAGCTCACCTAGGAGCGCAGCAGGAAAAGGCCACAAGCAGTGCGATTAGGGGCAGGCTGGAAAACCAAACAGTTGAAAAAGGACATTGGAAACACAGCAAGGTGGAGGTATATTTGACTGAGAAATCTAGGCCACTGAGAAATTTACTCCTACAAAAAGTCCCACCAGAACACTTGGGAGTATTCTCCAGAATACCTTTTTCCTTCATTTTCCCTTAAATTCTCAAGTCCCAGGAGCTGCTGTTCCTTGGCTCAAGCAAAGCCATACCTGTGAGAGGCACAGGAAGGGAGCAAAGCAGACCAGTTCTGACTTCTGTTCACATGTGACAAGGATCAGAGGGGGCTCAAGGTCAATTTGGTGCTTTCTGATCAACTTAGGAAGGTGATGTCAAGCTCATCCCCTGGACCAATTATATTAGCTGAAATTAAGGTCAATACATGTAACATAATAGCAGAAGGCAAGAGGGAAAAGGCCTTAAGAGGTAACTCTTTGACAAATGCTGAAAACAGAGACTAGGCATTTCCACATACCATTTTCTAGAGACTTCAACCAATTTTGTATTTGCAATAAACAAAGAAGCAATGACACAAACACCTCCAGAAAGTTGAGCCCAGGGTGCTGTCCCAATGTGTGTTTTGTGGGATCACAGGCCACGTGGAGACTGGTGGTCAGTCAGGATGGTACAAGCATAGGGTGTCGCTGCCAGAATGGAACAGCCACTTTGGAAACTTCCACATTACGCCCATAGCCACCTTCACAGATACTATCAGGCAACCTGACCCAGTGTCTGCAAAAATGTTTATTTTTGGTTTTGGTGTAGCTCCCAAGAAAGCCTGAAGTAACATGAGGCCTGCTGCAATTGTACATGCAGGTTAGGGCCTGCAGGCCAAGCTGCAGGTTACACAAGCCAAGCCACAAAGCATGTGAGGGGCTGGCACGTGCTGCAGTCAGATACCCTAAGGAGCAAACTCACGGAGGATGAAGCTGCTTCCCCTCCTCAGATTCTAAGGCACAATTACCCTGGGAGAATGGGAAGGGCTAGAACATTGAGACCTTGCAAGCAGAGTTAGCCCAAAGAGGAGGATGACCTGGCCCTGAAGGGAAAGCGGAAGGGAGAGACTGGCAAAGAGCTTGTGGCTTGGGCAGCCCTGGCAGTGAGAAAACCCCATTAACACCAAGCAAGGAAGCTATATATGTACAGCCACACACAGATGGAAGCAGGAATTTACCTCCAAGCAAGAGATTTCTTTGAAGTAAAGGCAAATGACGTCAGCAAAGCAAAGGCCAAGGATCCCCCCCCTTTCCAACCTTAAGGACTTTCAAGCTGAATTCTACATCAGAAATTACTGTTCTTATTAATCAGCGTGACTAGATGGAGACTGAAATTCAAGTACCAGAAAATGGGTCTCATGTTGAGAGCTAGATGTCTCCTCATTATGTCAGACCTCAGCAGAAGTAGAACAAATACCACATGACACTGTACAATGGGCTTATGGAAATGAGGCTGCATTCCCCCAATGGCCCTCCATGGAGAAGTCTGTGCCGTTCCTTAATATGGTGACAGTCAGTCTGAAAAGCCACTTCTTTGATGCACCATAAAGAGCAAGAGCATGAGACAAGCTAGTTTAGCACCATTTATTAAGTGATCTCAGCTGTTGTAGTAGCTGCTGTGTGTCAGCCTGTTCTTAAAACATAAAATGCTCTTCCAATTCCTCTTGTCCAGGACAGAAGAATCTTCCAGGTAGCACGCCAACAGAACAAGAGACTCCGATGATGCCAGCTTCAATGATGGTGCCATCCAGAGAGGGAGAAGGTCATGGCACATTCAACCGCGGCTTCCAGAGGTTTTGAAAAAGGAGCCTTTGGGGGCCCAGCCTGCCTGGCATTCTAGTGGAAGTGCAAAAGGTTGGCACATTGGGAGAGGAAAGAGAGGGAGACGCAGGGAAAGTAGCATCTGGGTGTCAAGGAGGGTTTTCTGGTCCCTGTAGCTGCAGGCTGGAGTACTAGGCAGACCTCTGGATAAAGCAGTGAGCAGTAGTCTAAGGCAAAAAGCCCACAGGCTCTCCTAGACTCTGTAAGGACTTGAATACAGTTCTATAAGTCAGGAAAAACTGCCTCAGGGCATTAGCAAGGTAGAACAGTGGAGAGGGGAAAGTTGAAAAATACCTCTTTCCCTTTCCTATCCAGGTGAAAAGCTTGCTTTTGGGGGGAATGGGGGGTGTTTTAGAAATCTTGAATGTAAGAGTCCTAGAAAAAGTAGGTGTGGACCTCTCCAGCCTGGACTGAGTCTAGCTGGAGGGCAGAAACTACTTCTACCCCAGAACAAAGAATAGGGAAAATGTGCTTAGAGAAAAACAATGCTAACACAGGACTGCTAAGTCAAGCAACCAGGGCAATGGCCAGCTAATAACTCCTGGCTGCTTCAATGAGTCATAAGCAGCCATTCGATTATGAACAAACTCCTATGGCAGTGTTCCCAGTTAAAAACTGGCCCTTAGCTAGTTTTAGCTAACTCCACCCACAACATTATCTGTGACTGCATGGGAAAAAGACTCCTAAAGTGGTCTGTCTGCTGAACACCATCACTGGGCTCATTATGGTCTTTAATAAGAATAACATTATGATGATATCATTTCTAATGATGATGATGATGACAGCAACAATAATACTTGGCCCTGTAAGAGCCGTCTCCATCTGAGGACCTTCCATTACCAAGATTCAATCAGCCTCCCAACAACCCCGTTAGGAAAGTTATCATTACCCCCCATTTTACAGACGGGGGAACTGAAGCAGAGTGGCAGAGACTTGCCAAAGGCACACAATGATGCTGGAGTCAAAGGAGAGAACTAACCCTAAAAGTCCCGACTCCTAGTTGGCTAGCTCTCCGTCCAGTTTTGAGAAAATCTAACAGCCACTCCCACAAATTCATCATAGTAACCTGAACTTATTCCTGACACTCAATCACTGAAGGAGCAACCGTAACCAGTGATTCTGTGAGGATGTCTGGCTCCATTCCCCTAAGTCCTAGGAAGAGGCCAATTCCTCTTGTCCAGGACAGAAGAATCTTCCAGGTAGCACGCCAACAGAACAAGAGACTCCGATGATGCCAGCTTCAATGATGGTGCCATCCAGAGAGGGAGAAGGTCATGGCACATTCAACCGCGGCTTCCAGAGGTTTTGAAAAAGGAGCCTTTGGGGGCCCAGCCTGCCTGGCATTCTAGTGGAAGTGCAAAAGGTTGGCACATTGGGAGAGGAAAGAGAGGGAGACGCAGGGAAAGTAGCATCTGGGTGTCAAGGAGGGTTTTCTGGTCCCTGTAGCTGCAGGCTGGAGTACTAGGCAGACCTCTGGATAAAGCAGTGAGCAGTAGTCTAAGGCAAAAAGCCCACAGGCTCTCCTAGACTCTGTAAGGACTTGAATACAGTTCTATAAGTCAGGAAAAACTGCCTCAGGGCATTAGCAAGGTAGAACAGTGGAGAGGGGAAAGTTGAAAAATACCTCTTTCCCTTTCCTATCCAGGTGAAAAGCTTGCTTTTGGGGGGAATGGGGGGTGTTTTAGAAATCTTGAATGTAAGAGTCCTAGAAAAAGTAGGTGTGGACCTCTCCAGCCTGGACTGAGTCTAGCTGGAGGGCAGAAACTACTTCTACCCCAGAACAAAGAATAGGGAAAATGTGCTTAGAGAAAAACAATGCTAACACAGGACTGCTAAGTCAAGCAACCAGGGCAATGGCCAGCTAATAACTCCTGGCTGCTTCAATGAGTCATAAGCAGCCATTCGATTATGAACAAACTCCTATGGCAGTGTTCCCAGTTAAAAACTGGCCCTTAGCTAGTTTTAGCTAACTCCACCCACAACATTATCTGTGACTGCATGGGAAAAAGACTCCTAAAGTGGTCTGTCTGCTGAACACCATCACTGGGCTCATTATGGTCTTTAATAAGAATAACATTATGATGATATCATTTCTAATGATGATGATGATGACAGCAACAATAATACTTGGCCCTGTAAGAGCCGTCTCCATCTGAGGACCTTCCATTACCAAGATTCAATCAGCCTCCCAACAACCCCGTTAGGAAAGTTATCATTACCCCCCATTTTACAGACGGGGGAACTGAAGCAGAGTGGCAGAGACTTGCCAAAGGCACACAATGATGCTGGAGTCAAAGGAGAGAACTAACCCTAAAAGTCCCGACTCCTAGTTGGCTAGCTCTCCGTCCAGTTTTGAGAAAATCTAACAGCCACTCCCACAAATTCATCATAGTAACCTGAACTTATTCCTGACACTCAATCACTGAAGGAGCAACCGTAACCAGTGATTCTGTGAGGATGTCTGGCTCCATTCCCCTAAGTCCTAGGAAGAGGGCAAAGCAAAGCTTTATTTCCTGTTGGCATTCATGCTTCTCTTAGATTCTACTCTCACAAACACTCCATCTGCTTCCTCTAGGATTTCAGCTCTACACACAAGGAAATGGGAGTCACATTCCTGATAAGACGTTAATTTCCCAGGACAAAGAAACAGACTGAAGCTAACAGGTTAAAAAGACATGCAAAAGTAGGGGTTGGAGTGGACAGGGAGGACCTTCTTGTTGAGTGAAATTATCTTTAAAAACAAGCAAGAAAAAGGAGAGCACTTTGTCTTTCATTTTAAGACAGTGGTTAGCCAATGAAAGACAAGACAGCCCATGGAAATAAAGCAAGCCCAGGCACTGCAACTGGGATTCTGCAGAGGGGCTCTCTCTGGTACAGTGAGGTAAGCAGGGAGCCTCACCAGCAAAGAGCTACTACAAGTGGCCAGAAGCATTAGAGGGGAAGACTGCTCTGTACTTTCTCCACAAGTCAGTCTCCTGTATGACCGTATTCCTCCGGACCCAACTAAGAACCTACTTCTGCTAAGGTTAGGGATATGCACCCCCAAACCCCCCCAACACGTACTTGATGCTGTCGGTGTGGGTTTTGTATTCCATAATGGTGTTGGGAGGTAGATTAAGCACTCGCCGAAGCGTATCCCGGATTCGGGCTGTGGTTGCTTGGTCGCTGGCAGTCTTATTCCATATTGAAATAATGTCCTCCTACAGGAGGAACAGAGGGACTCATCAAAGCAAACCAGAGGCAGTGAGGAGAGCAAAGGCAACACATGAAACCAGACCTGCCCGCAGGAAGCTTACCTGAAACCGGACAGAGACTACAGCCCCACAGATCTCCTCCCCAACCATGAACTGTTCCCCCAACATGGCCAGGATGAGATTCTCCCAGCAACGCGATGCCAAGCCCTTCCGCAGCCGAATAATCCACTTGCCACCATTTTTATTTGCATCATCCTATAAAAAGACAGAAAGCATTAAAGTTAAAATATGGTTTCACAGCTCCTTTTTCCTTTGCATGAACACTAAAAGGTCTTATCACTTTCCAATTATTCAACTTTATAGGAAAAATGGTAGGAAGAGACAGAAAACAAAGAAAAACAAGGTGGGGATCCTTATACAAGCCATTACAAAAAGTGGCTCCCCGTCTCCCCCCCCACCCCCAAAAAAACCCTCAACTTGCTGAGGCCCTTAGTCCTCACCTCCCACATGGGTTTAATTCCTTCTTTGAAGAGATGGAAGTCACTGTGGCCTGTCAGGTCCCCAGGACGTACCATGTGGCTGTAAAACCTCCAGAATTGCTCCACCTGTGAAGAGAGGGCCCCAGAGTACAGAAGGTGTGACTTTTCTTTTTCTTTGCCTGAATGCAAGACTTATCTAAGAGAAAAGCATAAACAGGGAAGACACACTGTTACAGGCTATACTTTGGAAGGATACACATTTTCATTTGGAGGACTGTGTGGGAGGAAAGGCATATTAGATGAAAGCATATGGTATAGCTGGATAAAAGGAAAATGTAATATTGTTGATACAAGAAAAACTCTAAGGCCTCAGCCAGGAACCTTGGCTGGTGAAGTCACACCAGTCAATATGCATCCTCCTGCAGAGGCCACAGGATAACCACGACATGCTGTGAGGAGGACCTTGTTTTACATAATGGAAACCCTTTAGTTCTAAGGTATATTAAGTGCCACATAACCTCAGTCTGAATGCATTTTTTAGAACCAAATATCCTCTTTTTTTTAAAAAAAAATATTTTTATTAATTTCAGAGAGGAAGGGAGAAAGAGAGAGAAAGAGAAACGTCGATGATGAGAGAGAATTATGGATAGGCTGCCTCCTGCATGCCCCACACTGGGGATCGAGCCCGCAACCTGGGCATGTGCCCTGACCAGGAATCGAACCGTGACCTCCTGGTTCATAGGTTGATGCTCAACCACTGGGCCACGGCAGCCGGGCCTAAACACCCTCTTGATCAAAGACTGTTTACTCAAATACAGCATTAGCTACAGTGAAATACATTTTAGTTCTATTTAGTTACTGAGCACAGTGATAAAATCAACCACATGCACTATGCTGCATCATGGTGCCTTTCTTAGGCCAGGACAGTCCAAAACCAAGCAGGACTTAGCCTCTAATATTTAGGGTTTAGGTCCCTCTTCTTCTCATATATATATATTTATTTCAATTACAGTTTACATTCAATATTATTTTGTATTAGTTTAAGGTATACAGCATAGTGATTAGATAATCACATATTTATCAAGTATTCTCCCAATATTTCCTGTACCCACCTGGCACCTTACACAGTTATTACAATATTATTAACTATATTCCCTATGCCGTACTTTACATTGCCATGACTATTTTGTAACTACCAATTAGTACCTCTTAATCCCTTCAACTTTTTCACCCAATCCCCCAACCCCTTGCTCCTCTGACAACCTTCAGTCTGTTCTCTTTAAGTCCCTTTTCTTACTAGAACATTTATGTTTCTCTTTGCCTCTCCTTCAAAGTCCTGTTAGAAAAGCAGACACCCTTCTCTAGCAATTGCAGACTTATTTATACTCATCATGCTAGTCCTTCCTGTTCCTCTCAGTGGTGCCTTGCGACATTACTTCCCTACCTCTCTGTCTCACAGAGGACACCTACAAAGTACTGGCCAGTGAAGAGGCACACTTTAGGAGGAAAGAGAAGATGTAGAATAGTCTGGAGAGAAACAATTGGTATTTGCCAACACATTGCCCAGGAGGCTCTAAACAGACACAGAGCAAGACACCAGAATTGTGTAGCTGAAAATGGATACTGAGTACACAGAAATTCAGGTCATATTTCTAGAACTGGTTAGCAACTAAGAGACCTTACACTGTGTGCAACAGCTGTCCCTTCAGTCCTCTAAGAACAGGAACATAGGCAGTGTCTCATGTTACAAAGAAGTCAGGAATGAGTGCCATTTGTAGGACTTTCGTGCAGTCTCTCATCTCAGCAACTGCTAAGCTTAACTGTATAAGGGATAGTAAATGGTCAAATGTATACAATGAGCAATTATCTTTTCAACCTGAACACAGTGGGAAGAAATAAAGTACACCAAGTAGAAACTGTGGCTCACTGTAAATTAGGAATTAGAGAGGAGCTGTGGGGTAGAAAGGTACACAAACCATCCCCGATTCCTCAATCAAGCATTGCTTCATTAATGGTTTGGCCTTCTCCAATCTTATAGCCAGACTATACAATTGTACAGTCACAATCTTTTTTTCTTTTCTTTAAAATAAATCTTTATTGTTCAGATTATTACAGATGTTCCTCCTTTTTCCCCCCATAGCTCCCCTCTCCCTGGTTCCCACCCCCCCCCATGTCCTTCCCCCCCGCCACTGTCCTCATCCATAGGTGTAAGATTTTTGTCCAATCTCTTCCCGGACCCTTCACACCCCCTTGCCCCCAAGAATTGTCAGTCCACTCCCTTTCTATGCCCCTGCTTCTATTATATTCACCAGTTTATTCTGTTCATCAGATTTTTTAATTGACTTTTTAGATTCACTTGTTGATAGATATGTATTTGTTGTCACTTTGTTGTTCATAATTTTTATCTTTACCTTTTTCTTCTTCTTCCTCTTCTTAAAGAACACCCTTCAGCATTTCATATAATCCTGGTTTGGTGGTGATGAACTCCTTTAGCTTCTTTTTGTCTGTGAAGCTCTTTATCTGACCTTCAATTTTAAATGATAGCTTTGCTTGTTTGTAGGTCCTTGCTCTTCACACTTTGAATATTTCTTGCCACTCCTTTCTGGCCTGCATGGTTTCTGTTGAGAAATCAGCTGACAGTCGTATGGGCATTCCCTTGTAGGTAACTAACTGCTTTTCTCTTGCTGCTTTTAAGATATTCTCTGTCTTTAGCCCTTGGCATTTTAATTATGATGTGTCTTG